ACATGAGGTGGAAGGCTTTTCTTTAGTTCATTAAAAGATATGTGTCTAATAAAAAAGGGAAAAATAAAAAACAGCAAGGCATTTGGAGCTAATCTAATTAATAAACCACTGACTGTGACCACTAAAAAAAAAAAAAAAATTCAAATAACTTAAAACGTACTCGTACACTAGTCTTTCATGACTATCACAATTCAGCCCGATCCATCACAGAACATCCCTCGATGTACTTCATCGCCACTGAACGCATTTGATCGTCACTTAGCGTATCTAATCGACACTGGACGAACACGGCCGGCACTATGTTTAATGCACCGTCATGAAACATTACTGCGCCCTTTCCAGAAGGAGCAGAAAACGATGTGAAATCGATACATACGAATGAAAAGGGAAACGCAGTCCATTCACCCCTTTACAGTATTTTTAAATCACTTACCCATCGCAATCAGTGTCCAGCTTTTTGAAAATTGCAGATGAGGCGGAAATATCATTTTGTTGATCAGAAGAAACCTGGAATAAGTAGGACGGGCAAAACTAAGAATACGCAAAATATTCAAATAACAAAATCTACTACCATTCACGGTTATTCAGTTCATTAATTATTTGTGTGTGTGACTTTTAATTTAGCCTGCGTAACAACCGCTCGGCAAGAACACGACTATCTTGTAACACGCAGAAGAACACACATGCTACACACAGGGTGTAACTTGTCTAAGAGCAAAACGTAACTATTCTTACACTTTACCCGAATTGCGCATTTAAATTTAGAAAGAAACATCAATAATTTTTGTGTGACCGCCACATAGGGCGTCAGAAACAATGATCATACACAGGAGTGCTTTACGGTGGAGTATACTCAAACAAGAGCCAATGTAATCACAAAAGTCAACTATAACAAAGCAAAATATCACAAGGTCTGACTGACATCTGATTAGTCGTGAGAGAAGCGGAAATATTGTGACCAATCACAGAATGAAGTAAACCCAAACGCAAGCTATCTCATTAATTTTCCATTCTGTTCCCATTTTTCAATCAAAAGCTGGCCTCGAGTGAATGATGATGAGTATTGTATTGAGTCTATCAGCATATTAATTTTCTAACACCAATATGTATTGGTACAAAACCCTAATGTCACCTTCTCTGCCAATCGGATGTAAACCTAAAACCAATCTTGGCATGGGTATCTCATTTTCGCAGTCTTTGAGGTTGAGGTAATACGTGTGCTTAGTTTGATTTCTCGCATACTTCTGGTGATAAAAATATTGTCCTTAGCTCGGATTGGCCATTGTAAAAGCTTTAATTTGGTTCAACCAAACCTAATCAACAACTGTTTTTTCACCATCATTTCCCAACCTTCAAAAGTCTGGGTGTGGCTGATCGTTGTGGCTCACACACTGTTAAGGAGGCCACAGAAGTGACGTCTACTCTAGTGGAATGGTCCTTGGGCTCCCTATAACACACAAAAAGGTACAGCTTAGACTGGTTGAAGATGAGCTTAATTCAGATGAGCTTAATTCATAAAAGAATATAAAGAACTGTAAAACTGTCCTGGATTTCAAAAACAACCCAAAACAATTCCTCTAATTTCGCCATAGGTTTTTTTCTCAAGTCAGTCTGCTATTATTGCCTAGAACTCAAGTCTAATTCAGAAATTAAGAGTTCCTTTTAATACAAAAATGGAATTAACCCTGATCTAAGCTTCTAGCAAACCTTTTGTTATTTGGATACTCTAAATCCATTTGCTCTACAACATCTTCTTTTTCAATTTTATTGCCAAGGTCTTCATCAAAACTTTCCACATATATCATAGACTCCTCTTGGTGTTCTTCAGTTACAATGTCAATTGTGGGTATTGGTTCTGTACTATTGACTTCTTTTACTCTTAGTGGGGATTTAAGGTGTGTCTGACCATTCATTTTGGTTGTGGACTTCTTAACTCTTTTTCGGTGGTCTGGGAGGCTGAAGAAGCTGTCTGATGCAAGTACATTTGCCCTTTTGCTCTGCAGATAGCAAAAACAACGAATTTGATTTTTTTATTTTGATTTATAAAAAAAATTGACTGCACCACAAGCAATTGTATACCAAATCCGTCTTCAATGGCATTTGAATCCATGCCCTCCAGATACTAGTTGTACACAGTCTACCAACTAAGCTATGAAGCCACACATAAGCTCAGTTGGTAGTGGAGCCAATTAGTAGCTGAGTGGCACAGGTTCAAATTGTGTCAAAGCCTGAATTTTTTCAGGCTTCTTTTCCTTAATTTCTTGTTGTGCAGTCCCCCGGCTACCCACATTCCTTTGTTTGATTTTTATTCACAATTCATATAAAATTCATTCCATCAAAAATTGCAACAAAACAAAAGTTGACGAGAAAACAAGAGCTCTTGACATCAAACTCTAAACTAAAAAGAGAAACAATCATTGTTGAAATAATTTTTTGGTTACAAGTTATTATTTCTTGTTGCTTTTCTTGCGGCCTCCAAACTAGCAGAAACATTGTTTCTCATAGAATTAAAGAATTATCTTTTAGCCATTTTAAAAGAAGAAAAGCAGAAAATAACTGAATCACCTTTCTCTTTGACTGTGGACCATCCAATCCTGACAACAAAACAAGTACCAAGTGAGGCAAGTAATAAACCTTATCCCAAATTACTAAATTAAATTCAAAGTAAGTTCTTACAATGAAGTTCTTAAAGGTGGTTGTTTACTCCTCTGGGAAGTTAGCCATCCTCTGTGTTTTATGAGAATCCCTGCATAAAACACACTCAATTGGACCAACCTGAGGTCAGAAGTCTGTTGCATAAGTAAAAAAACAGTGCAAAAAAAAAAAAAACAAAAAGAATGATGTTAGTGCCACATGCAGAACTCTGAGAGTGAGGCTAACATCACCATCAATTTTTTTTCTATTTTTTGCTAGCCTTTTCTTTTATTCACACAACAGACTCCACATATACACCAGATGGTGTTACGAAATAAGAACACACATGACTTTCATACCATTGGGTGTTTGCTGCTTCTTTGGAGGAGGTCTGTCAGTTGGTTTTACTGCTTTTTTATTGTTTGGGCCTTCCTTTCTTTCAATATTGTTCAGTCTCTAAGCAGAAACAGTATCACTTGTGGTCACAATAAATCTGTTAAAACTGCTAAAATGCTTCATTTATCTACAAAAAAAGGCTGAATCAAACGTCAACAACATTTTGACATTACCAAAGGAGCAAACTTACCTCTTTTCTCCAACTATCTAAAGATCTTGATTTAAGGGTTGCCTTTTGTTCTTTCTCTTGTGTGTGACGTCTACAAGAGCATGAACGTGAGTGTATTACTAATCCTTCAAGTTTACTAACTTCTCTTTTGTGTATTTTAGCAGGGTATGGTTCAGACAGATATGATGACTTAGCCACAGATGCATCTTTAGTCCTAGAAACACCATTTCCAACTGATGGCATCCTATACCTGGAAAAGAGGTTAAACGAGTTAAAAAAAAAAAAACTTCCATGCAGATTAACCAGAATATAAAAAAACTCAGGGAAGTATAAGATACAAAATTAAAGAAACTTCTCTCCATGACAACAGAACAATATTTACCATTTAACGTTTTAAGGTCTCTCTAAAATGGTTTTATGTGAAATACCAGAACTGACCTTGTGTTAACAACACTCTGTCCACCAAGTGTCATTTGATACCCTTTCTTGTTGGTGCTGCCATTGGTTGTCTATAGCATATTAAAGTAACAAAACTTATTATTCAAGATGTACAATTATTAATTATAATGCTTAACATTTTACCCATTTACCCCATCTCCTTAAACACTGGAATATTAATTTTTCAATCTAAGAAAAAATATTACGAACAAATTCCAGCTACAAATTAAGATAAAAAACTTGAGATCATATTTATTGTGATTAATTACATAAAAACTATTAACCCTGATTCCCTACCAAGGACTTATTACCTACGTCCTTTGTCTTGTCACCCAATGATCAAGGACACATATAGATGTCCTCAAATGAAAACATTACTGAGAGCCTGGTTATTTGCCATGGCTTGAATATTATGTTTCTGCTGGTTGGAGAGGGTGTCTGTCTGTGGTAGGGAAGGAGTCAATAGAGCTCCAACCAATATCATTCACAGTCCATTAAGATAAACCTTATTCAGTGAGAGAGAAAAGATACTTCCTACATATAATTATATATCATTATTACTGATTCATACTTTCATAAACCTAATTGTGCCAATGGGTGCCATGAATTCCTTTGATCTCTGTGATAACAGTCTGCTACTGGTGAATTCACTCCTTGTCTGGTCTTTGTTTGGAAGAGTCCAAGAGTACCAGACATTCAACATAGCACTAGGGGAGTCAATAAGATATGCAACTGTCCCAGTGCTCCCCTTCCCAACTTAACCCCCCCTCCCCCAACTGCCCCACCTAAATAACCCTTTAACTCCCATGAGTGACTAAGAAATAGTTTCTCCTTGAGTTACCAATACAATATCAAGCAGACAAGTGATGAGAATTACAAAATGTATCAATTAGGAGATTATAAGTTGATCCAATACCAAATTCTCTGAACCAAGAACAAGAGAATTGTATGTAAGACTGTAAGGAGAATTAATAATGAGATCTTGCGAGTGAAAGAGTTAAGGTGGTGATTCCATTTTGAGTAGTCATAGTATCTATGAATTTAAATACCAGGTGTTTCTTTCTAGGTAAGTTTCCCACAGGCTGACCCACCGAGTGATGAAGTATAAATCTTTCTGAAGTACTCAACCTGAAATTAGAGGAAGTGAGTGAAATAAAAAATGGTCAGCATCTTTAAAATTTTTTCTCACAGCAAAAATGTTACTGCTACTGGTCAGTAAAATCACTTAAATCTATTTTGGAGAAAACTAGATTTGATTTATGGATATAGCTATCACCTTTTTTGCTATTTCAGTCAATAGGCCATTTTACAGTTGTGTACTTAGTTGCCAAGCCTTTGATTCAGAGTGAGGCTAAAGGTGACCTGGTTGTGATAGAGACCTGTATCTAGTTAGCATGATAACAAAGTGAGTTACATTTGAAAGGCAGCAAGGTTTTTATCATAACAAGGTCACCCCTAGCCTCACTTCCATTCAAAGGCTTGGCAACCAAGCACACAATGGTCAGAATAATTTTCGTAACCTTTTAGTACTTCTGCATCCTCTCACTTACATTTGAAATCCCATTGTTGGGAGCTGTGAGGCTTGACTTGAATTCTGGTCAGTTAAGAAAAGAATATTTAATAAAGTTTTGAAAGAAAAAATCAACAGGATTGCTTTTTGAATGGCATGATGACAAAATGACTGACATCAAATAGAGTAATCTTTTTGTGGTCTGATCCTTAATGCAAACGCACTAGGCAGTAAGTCTTACTACATTTATAATATAATGATTGTTGTGACTTACAGCAAGGCGAGGGTTGAGCCCTTTAGGGTACCAACCATGCTCAGCATTTTTAAATTCACAATCAAGCTGTAATTGTTTCATTTTTAACCCACTGGATCCACTATAAAAAGAGAAAAAAATCTATACATAGGATATCAACTATAACTAAAAGTAAAGTTGTTAACCTATGTACCACACATAAACAGCTCAAAGCTGGCAAACTTCTTGCTTGAGATATACTTCTAAGTTCACTTTAAATTGGGTAAAATTAAAGAAGAACTCCCAAAATATCTGTCAGCCAACTGTCAGCCGACCATTGGCAAACGAAACACAGAAAACAATGAAAAGACAACAGAAACACAATGAAAACATAGCTCATGCAATTTTGTGAGTCTTTGAAAAAATTTACTAGTATTGCTAAATCTAAGTAACTAAACTCTTCCAATTTCAGTGGAACAAAAATTAATGTGTCAGTCAGATACTACACATCAAGTTCACATAAATGATGATCGATATGGCCAATAATGCCTTGCACTCGTAATTTACCTCTATCCCATGTTGTTCATCATAATTCATTTTGAGGTAATTGTGAAAGTTAAAACTTACCAGGATGACAGTCTATTTACTCATTTCTGAATTTGTTTTCATTGTGTTTTCTGTGTTTCATTCGCCGACAGTCGGCCGACAGTCGGCCTACAGATATTTTGGGGAGCTGTTCTTCAATTTTACCTTAAATTGAGGAAGAAGGACACTTATTCAAGAAGAGATAGAGTTTGCAAAATTACAAAGTTTGTTTCTGAGAGCAAGGCTTCATTTTGAAGAACCTTCTCCTTTCTCAGCATGATGAAGGCACTAGAAATGAAGTAGTACCATTTGTTTCATAATATAGTCATTTCCATTACGGATTGAGACAGTTTTCACAGTAAAAACACAACATCAAGCCTGCTTTGGAATAAAGTAAAGGTTATTGATCACTATCCCCTCTTCAACACACCCAGGGTGAAGCAGGGGATTTGCTGAAGATGTTTGCCCAAGAATATCAACAGGGACACTCGTGAAATATAAATCCAAGAGCCACGGATGCCCACTATTAGGAAACACATCAATACGAGAACCATACAACTGCAACATACCCAATGCACACATCTTCAAAGCTGTTGGCACCAATCACAGCAGACAACAGCAATTCTAAGGCAACATGTAACCTGAGACAACTTTATCACACGAAGACTGGCAGATTTAAGTCAAAACTTCCCACTCTATCTTGTAAATGACTTAGAACATTATCACTCAAATTACGAGTATCAATGAAGCTTTCATTCAAAAGGCAATGACCAGTCATATCAAATATACCTGACTATAACTTTATAGTAACTTGTTCTAGACTGACCTTTCAATTCCTCCTTTAGAACTAATTCCCTTTTCAGAAAGAAAGATATTCACATGTTCAGTAACATATATTAGAAATTAACTACCAGTATCTATACATGCATCTAGCCTAACATTTCAAGTAATAAGTAATTTACAAGCCACGCTTTGAAGGAATACATCAATCAAGAAAATTTGATTTTGCATATTAAATGCCAGTCTTTCAGGCTGCAGGCCACCAAAATATTCCATTTCTACATGGAAATCCCATGGTAAAGATGGAAGATTTGTACCTTGGGCTGCAGTTTGATGATCAGTTCTAAAATACAACTATCATGGCTCCCAAGTTTATGTTGAAGCTGAATCATCGGGTCAATTTTATTAATTATTATTTATTAATTATCCATAATTGACATTTGGTGGTTAATAAATACTACATTTTGCTGTTTTTCAGTGCACCCACAAATGGAAAATTTTGTCGAGATTTTGATGGAGCAAAACAATTTTTTTAGCCAAGTGCTCCCGGCGGTATATAGACCCAGTCATACAACTGAAACCCTACACCCTAGACCCCATCTTCTGCGAAAGAAGATGCAGTGTCTGCCTTGCAACATTGTTACTTACATTAGTTAGAGTCAATCTGCTAAAAAGATCAGATTTTCTGGCGAAACATCATCAAAGTAGATATGCCAATGCAATCGAGACCCCTTCGACAAGCATGAATTTTTCTACATGACTGCAATTTTCCTATCAAGATCCGCTCTCGATTTCTTTGATCTGAAAATCAGGAATTTCTTTATTTCGTAAACCTAACGCATGAAGATCAAGAAATTCATTTCCACGACTGCTGAAATCGAACGGTATGGATAACACTCCAAAGGCAATTAATTTCATGATGAAATATTGTTACCTTAACACAAACAAATAAAAAAATAGAATTACGTCAAATCAAAATAATTCGTTCCTTTGAAATTAGCAATCTCAACATCGCCTTGAAATAAAGAATGAAAAGTTAGATTGAGACAATTCAGTGATATCTCTTTTCCTTAGCTTAAGTTTACCCATAAAGAAATTCAACTTTACAAATATTTACAATCAGTTTCAAAATAAACACGGCATGCCTTAATTGAACAACACCACAAAAAATATCAACAAAGGGCGCATTCATCTCTTGTACAAACTAAGCATGCATGAAACAGATTGAATTGAGTTAAGTGGTGTGCTAGATCTCTCTCTAATAAAAACATATTCACTTACCTGGTCATTTCTTTTTTCTGATCCTTCACCATTCTGTGAAGTTTTCTCCGATCTCCTGCTGACGAGCGAAGTAAAGGAACCCTCTGTAATGAGCGGTAAACTCGGACAGTTTCTTTCTTCGTCCTTTGCCTTTGAATTGTTTACAATTTTAATCCCATGAATGCCATTAAAGCCATAAATGGGACTTGAATCAGTTCTAATTTGTCCATTTGTTATCGATGGGAGCATTATCGTATATTTCGAAGCGCTTTTTCCAAGTGACTGACCGGTGTACAGTTCAGGGACAAGATCATTGGTTCTGGAAAGTTCCATGGAAACGAGTTCTGGCCACGGCTCCAGCAGAGCAATCGATATCACAGCACGCTCGCTAACAAAAACAAAAAAAATAAACAGACTCACATACACTCTGACTGCACAGCCATTTAGACTCTATGAATGGATTCTCGGAGTAATCTCTTGTTTTTAACTCTGTTCCTCCCATTCTGACAGGAAAATTGTCGTAAACCTATCACTGAACTTGATAAAAATGGATATTAACTGAACGCAGACGATATTGTTACGATCAGGGGAGGTGAGGGGATAGAGTAATTTCAAGCGCCATGTCCTTGGCTCTCCACCTATCCTTTATTTCAAGAATTATACGATTATTTACGTGTCATATTACGGCTAAGTACTATTTTACAATGTTGGGCGTGAAATTAAACTCAAAAGAGAAAATGTTCTAAAATTTCCTAGGGTCTGGTAGGTTGGGTGAGCCCGTAGTTGAGAGGAAATTAAAGTGTAACTTGTGTTGGAGGTGTCGTTCTTTAGTGTTCCATTCATATCCTTAGAAAGCCGTAAATTACTGCTTCAGAAGGCTAAGTAACTCTTCAAAATGTCCAGTGAATATTCAATTCAAGACCTGATCGCTAAAAAGAGAGATGGTGATGAACTAAGCGAGCAGGAAATATATCATTTCGTAGAAGCGTCCTACTCTTCGAATGGTGCGTCCGATAGCCAGATCGGTGCAATGCTCATGGCTATGTACTTAAAGGGACTGAACCGCGAAGAAACGGTGAGCCTTACAAAAGCGATGCTTTCGTCGGGCAGTTCCCTGACGTGGCCCGAAGAGTGGCAAGGAAGCGTGGCAGATAAGCATTCAACAGGAGGAGTGGGTGATAAAGTGAGTCTAGCGCTCGCACCCGCCTTGGCTGCTTGTGGGGTTAAAGTGCCGATGATTTCTGGTCGATGCCTCGGTCATACTGGTATGCTCTACTCTCTATTGATTTTAAAGTGATGTTTTTATTTCAAGATACATCACGGTAGACTTCATCCACGTTTGTTTATATTTACATTTATTCAAATATCAAACCTCCAACCGCAAACAAGATACTTGTAACCGAATGCCATCAACGCATCAGTGATTTTGACATATAATTAGCAAGATTAACTATGAAACTGCGCGGGATTTTTTCAGTTTGAACTTTGCAGTGTAGCTCACGTACCGATATTTTTTGGCTTCACTATTATTACGCCCCCTTTTAATAGCGTTGCATACTATTTCTAAAGAAGATATTTATTTCGGAGAGGTGAATAATAAGGATGGGCCGATACCGATACCAAAATATATTTGATACCGGCGATTCCGAGGTCAGATCAGCAAATATCGATACTAGCGAAAAGTATCAGTGCTTTCGATACTGCAAGTGACCTGCCTGCGCTTTGTCTCACGCCAGGCGACCAACCGCTGCCAAGGAGCCGAAAAGACTCTGGGCTCGAGATTGGGCAGTGACCACCGCAGTATACCAGTCTTGTGGCTTGTGAGCGCTACAAGAGTGAACTCTTTGACGACCATGAGTTTCGATTTGAGTACGTTGTTAATCTAATTTTAAATTTTTGACTGTCTTATTGACTCTTCTATAGGATACTGAACATCTGCATAACTTGAATAGTGCAAGATAACCCTTTATGTTGTCAATCAAATCATATGACTTACCATAAATCTCAATGACGTCACAGTATCTGTATCGATATAGATATCAAAGAAAAATGTTAGTATAGTACTTGGTATTGTATCAATTTGGAAAAATGGTATCAGCCCATCCTTAGCGAATAAATATTCATGTGGGGGAGTGAACAAGGTGGGACAAATTCCAGGGGGGTACTGTATCACATGGCTCACTTGTGGAAATACAATTTTGCACTCTTTTTTTTGCACTTTTTAAGGGAATATTATTTTCCAGTAATCATTTAGAAACAGGCAGTAGTTTCAGCAATATAAGTAATTTCTGTAAAATATGATCTTAGCCAATAAGGGTGAACTTCATCAGTTCAAAAATTCTTGGCAGTTACATTTCACCTTCCTTGTCCTCAAAGGTTTCGCCCAACATTCACATGTTTGACTTAAAAGATACATCATACTCAGAATTTTAAGTGGGATAATTCATGACTGGCTGATCACTTCACCCTTACATCAAGCCCCTCTTTATATCTCCTTTAGGAGGAACTTTAGACAAATTAGAGTCAATACCAGGATTTCAAGTGAATCTAGAGTCTAAGCAGGTGTGTGATGTGCTGGCAAAAGTTGGCTGCTGTATTGTGGGACAGACGGAGTCACTGGTTCCTGCTGATCGCGTTTTGTACCGTATAAGGGATGTTACAGCTACAGTGTCATCAATACCTCTGATATCAAGTTCTATCTTCTCAAAGAAAGCTGCTGGTATGCAAAAGATCTGGTTTACACTTTTATTATCCAACTACACCCAGACGAGTACAAATAACGCCATAGACGAGTACCAATATCACGCGGTATTTGTACTCCTCTCTAGTAGTACCGGTTAAACAGGTTTTCTCGCATAGCGCAAGTGAAGAATTGGATTGTAGGTACGAAAAAAAAAAAGTGGCAGACAATTTGAATCATTTTTCCAACGACTAAGAGTCAGAATGGCTGGCAAATATAGGTCCAATTTCATTAGATGAATCAAACGAAGAAAAAGAGCTTGATCACCAGAAAATTTCTTCATCTTATGAAGAAAATAGAAACAGCGACACAACAATGCGCCAATTCCATTCCGCTTCGCATACTTCTGTCACGCACTCCCCGTAAATAAATATCCACGAAATTCGCCTGCACTGAAATAACAGTTTGGCGTGTTGGATAATAAATAACTTATTAGACATATTGTTGTATAGTATCGCTGAGTATTTTTACTTGTTATTTGTATTTTGACTCGCCCTATGGGCTCGTCAAAATACGGCACAACTCGTAAAAATACTCAGCGATACTACACAACAAAATGTCTAATTAACAATTATTCCACAAGTGCGCGTTGGATATGAGATGATAGATAGCCAACGAGGCGCATAGTGCCGAGTTGGCTATAATCATCTCGTATCCAACAAGAGCAAGTGGAATAATTGTTTTATTAAAAACGTTAAATTAAGTTATTAAATTTTATTAAATTTTTAGCTCCCTTTTAATTTTAAGCTGACACGTACGCTTGCCATATTTGTAGATTATGGTATATTGGCTGATATACCATAATGGCTAAGCCAATAAAAAGTCTTGAATTGCATTATCCAATGATCTAGTTTTTAATAATCAGATATATTTATTAGAAATCTTTTACCATTCATAGAACTTATTTCTCTCTCACCAAGAATTTGTTCTCTTGATCTCTCTTTGGAAGATAAGTCAGACTTTGGCATTGCATGATAATTCATGATATCATGGTCAACCTCTTCCAATTATTATTCTTTACCATTTATTTAGTAATATCAAATTTACTTCTCTTTTTGCCATCTCCCATCAGAAAACCCATCAGCCCTTGTACTGGATGTAAAAGTTGGCAAAGCAGCATTTACAGTCACAAAGGAGAAGGCTCAGGTTCTTGCCCAGACTATGGTTGGTATATGCCTTGGTTTAAGCATCAAGGCAGTTGCTCTGATCACCACCATGGATGCACCATTGGGAAAAACTATAGGTAACAGCGTGGAGGTTGCAGAAGCAATCAGCTGTCTGAATGGAAAGGGACCTGAAGATTTGAAAGAACTTGTGTGTGAACAAGGCAAGTATGGTGGTTGGCTGATATAGTGCAGCAGTTTGTGTTGGGAGTCTTTGACCTGTTGTCACAAAAGGCTTAGTTTCTTAAGGTTCTCACCCTTGTTCCGGAGATTTTTCTCCAGGGTTCCTTGATCAGTTCCAGGGTTCCTTGATCAGTTCTCCTCCTTCCACCAAAACCCAACTGAACCTGATGCCAGAAAAAATGGACAAAACGAAGGCCTTGCAATGGATTTGAAACTGCTAAAATCGTATTTGTTCATAGCAACTGAAATATAAATGAATGGTTTTAGGTAAAGCTTTCTTGGCAACTCCCCATTAGCCTTCATAAAATTTTATAAATGTCACTCTTATCTTTTCAATTTCATTGGATTTTGTATAATTAATAATTTGATTTCCTTCAGGTGGTTACATACTTGAAGCACTAAACAAAGCAGAATCACAGAAAACTGGCTTAAAACTCATTGCAGATGCACTGGAAAATGGAAAAGCTCTTCAAAAATTCTGTGACATGCTGAAAGCACAAGGAGTCTCACCAGATCTGGCTCAAAATCTGTGTACCCCAGGTGCAGATCTCTTCAGCATCTTACCCCTTTCTTCCCAAAAGCTTGAGCTTGTTGTGGACAAGAGTGGAATTGTAACTGGTATTGATGCTCTTGTCCTTGCAAAAGTGGGTCACAAGCTTGGTGCAGGGAGAAGTGATGTGGGTGATAAAGTTGATCATGGAGTTGGGTTTGTCCTTGATGTGCGCATAGGTCAATTTGTTAATAAAGGTGATAGATGGGTGAGTGTGTACCACAATGGCAACCTTGCTGATTCTCAGATAGCTGACTTGAAGAGTGCTTTGAAGATTGAAGAAAATGGTGGCACCGCAGATCTACCCATAGCTTCAAGAATCGTTGATGTCATTGACAGCCGAAGACGAAGTTCAATTTTTGTATGTCAGTGAATCAGAAAAAATTGTATACTCAGTCCAGTATACTTACAAGTCACTTCATCACAAATTAAATGAAGGTTTACTTTTTCTTCTTTTTGGGAAGTTGTACATGATGTCAAGACATTCATAAAAAAATTGTTCATAAATTTACCCTTTCACTCCCAGGGGTGACCAAGCAAGGATTTTCCTCTCATAACATTCATACATTTTAAAGCAGAAAAGTGATGAAAAGTGGAAAAATTATTAACACAAAGGATATTGTGTGATTGATCACTGAATTCTCTGATCTCAAATTAAAGGTGATGAGTGATAAATAGTGAGGGTAATTAATTTTTAGATCTTTGGAGTAAAAATGGCTAACTTTTTCTTTGTAGAAAATTGTCAAAAAATTATTCATTTGTGCTTAAGTGTTCCGAATAGTATCTTGGTAAATATGTGAATTTTTCAGTCTACTGAAATAGCTTCATTGATCATCAGCATTCACACAATTTTGCAGTATAAGAGAAATACACGGGTTCATCTCTCCTTAAAGCATCTGTCAAATAGATAGTCAAAAGGCCAGAAAATTGAAGCTAGTGCTTTAAAAAAAGCTACTGACTTGAACAGTTCTTGACAAGTATTTCACATTAGGTTAAACACTTTTCTAAAAATACTCAAGAAACAAATTTAATAATGAATAAAGTGCAACCATCAGTGTTTAGATACTGGTATACATATCTTTCTGTAAGGTATTTTGAAAGAGTTCCTTCACTCCTTGTCTGATCTTAAAATATGAGTGATGTTTGCTTTAATTTGGAACCTAACTCATTAATAAGGAGCAAATTTTTACTTGTTTAATTACAGAAAAATTAAATGCAGAGTAATATATGGGGTAAACATAATCACAATCTTTATGCAAATCAATTTCCTTCCCAAACATTAATTTTTCAAGCTCATTTTTGGTTTATAATCTAAGTGATACTTCTATTGGTAAGTATTGTAATTATAAACTATTGCAATAGTTGGGCATATTATTTGCTTTAGGATGGGAGTGTGACAATCTAATAAAGTTGAAATACAAGCTCTATGAAAATCAAACCAATGATAAAGTTTATAATCTGAGAAAAACTTGATGGAAGATCAGGAACAGCATGGAACAATGCTTCAACAACCAAACATTTATGGGTATTTTCTCTCGAAAAACAGTTTTTACCATCACTGATCAAGTACTCCTTTGAGCAAAAAAGACGAGTACACAATTTTAAAATTACAGCATCTTTATTTGAAAGTTGCCATTAAGACACCAGGGGTTACAGTCAAAACAACAAAACTTTATATTCACAAAAAATAGGCCCAATGCTTGTTAAATCTGGTAATGAACCACACTCCCTTCATGCAGGTGCCATGGCCTTTAGGTCTCTTATGCACTGGCTAACACTTTCCTTTTCCTGTGGGAAGTTCAGAAAATGAATCACATGCCAGTGAAAGTCATTTATATTTTTTCTTGAGTAAAAAGATTTTGGAAGGGTTTGAAACAAGGATAAGCGTGAATACCAGACCCTATCAGTGTGAGGAGTGTTACAGGAGTCACTTGTGAAAAACTGAACCATTAAATTTCATGAAACGAACCATGAATTTCTCCATCATAATTCTTTGCCACATTTCCTTGCTGCTATGGTTCTAAGCACTGATTTTCACAATTGGATTTGGTTAACAACTCTTCATTTCATTCACTGGAAAGGTTGATTTTGTTTAACTGACCCCAGAAACAGTAGTGGCAGATTAAATGTTTTAGGTCAAGCCTTTACCCAGGGCATTCTATCATATGCAAGGAAAGAGTTATGGAACCCAGGGTAGTCAAGGATGATCATAGTCCCATCAAATTTCAATCCAGAGAAAGCAGTTCTCTGTAACAAAGTCAGGCCTGTCCTCTTTGTGGATCTAGGGATTACATTGTAAAGTAGTAAAATTTTTCTACTTTGTAACAATCAGGTAAGAAAGAACAAGACTCGTTAAGGAGAGCATTGAACAAAAGTAAATCATGTTATACCTCTTACAGTGATGAGCCAACACTGCAACCTTTTTGAGCATGATGGCTGAACCAAATGCACTGATCAATGAATTGTAGTCCACCAGTTTACTCAACTGGGAAAAGTTGTTAAAAAAACGTATTTTTAGAACAAAAGTAATCATCTCATTATTCCATACATACCAACTGAGGCGAAATACTCTTCACGACTTCTTTTTCCACCCAGTCAACAATGTGCTGTTGTGCATTCCTTCGCTGGAATGCTTCTATCTCTGCCTGATAATCCTATGCATTGGAAATGAAAACAAAACAAAACAAGTTTTCTCAGTTTCACAAGAAAAACTGTCTATGACATTAAAGGAATTAGCTGATTTGAAGTTTCTAATAACCTGTATCTGCCCCTAAGCTCAAAATATAATCCACTAATCCACATCCAAACAACATTCCACCTGACACTGAATCAAATTTTTTGTTTAACTACCACAACCCTCCTACAAATTTATTAAGCATATAAATTAAGACCTTGAGGGTACCATCCACACTACAATTTTCAAGACCTTCCTTGGGTTGGGCATGGATATGCCCTGAAAGACAACTCAACCACTGTTCAATCTATACCACAGTGTACATGTGCTTCAAAGAAAACATTAGTTCTTCATGTTGGGAGTGGGGTTTGTATGTATTTTTGCACTAGGTCTCAGCAGAATAGAGCTTAGACATTTGGCAACTATCACAATCATCATCTAAAAATTAATTGAGGGACCCATAACAGTGCTCCACTCTCCTCACTCCAAGAAGACAAAAGAAGGGTAATAGCTGTTGGCTATACTCAACAACTAAATTTGCCAAAGAGAGCAATTTCTTTTTTCTTTGACACCAATTTTTCTTCTTTTTTTGGTTTATTGACACCAAAATAATATTGTATGAATCATAGCATTTCTTGGACAACAGTCTACAATTCATACAAAAACATCACACTAGTGAAGAGTACCAGACGTTTCTTGACTTGTCTAGCTACTTCATGCAGCCTGTTTCGATACTCCAGCTCAAGAGCCATGGCATTGTTTTCCTATTTAATAAATGCAGAAAATAAAAAGCATGTATGAAGGCTGTAAGATAAACAATGAAAGAAACAAGCTTATTCAAAAACCTACTCCTTAGGGGGAACTTAGGCTCTGCAGGTAAGTTTCCTTTCTTTATGTGCATTTACACAAAAAGACCTAAAATCCTCTGCAACCAACTCAAGTCAAGAGATGAAATCCTATTCATTTTCAATCACAAAAATAAACAATTCAATCAACACAAATAGACAAAAGTATCCGTAAAGTCTACATTGGGGCCTAATATGTGCCTAGTGTAAACAACAAAATTCAACATTTTTTTTTTCAAAAAAAAAAACATCTTACCCTCAAAATTTCCACAATATCTGTTCTGGCAGAAATAAAGTGCTCGAACTCCTTAGCCTCTTTTATGTTGTCAATAAAGAATTGCATACGTGCCTCCTTGAATTCATTAAACTTATCTAAGATTCCCTGTGAAAAATTATAGCATATAATTATTGTGACAGTCATATTTTCAGTTTCTTAACCCCAAGTCCACTGTTTTTTAAAGTTCTAGCAAGTAAAAATATTTTGCAACTTGGCTTTAGGGAGAAACAACCACCGGTATACTACCAGTAAACAACAAAATGCTTGGTTTCTAGTTTCAAATTTGTGCATGCAAAATTTAGATCCAAATTTGAAAGCAGACACAGATTAAAATTTCAAATGATCAATTAAGAAATGAATTAGTCACATTTATAAGAAATTTCTATGCTCCACCTTCAACAACCATTAAACAAAGCAGCAGAGCAGCAGAAGTAGTAGTCTAAGGTGGTGTACATATGACAGTACAAAGCTGTGCTCTAGCAGCGCCCGGTGGCCCCTGGCGCCTTACTATTGCTCTTGGGCGACTCGGAAATTTTAGTTTTTTCATACAAAGCATATGCTGGGCACCCTGGATTTTACAGTTTCAGAGCACTGGGCCCCATTCAATTTTCCTTAGAGCACAGCCTTGCAGTATCTGTATAAACATGACTCACTTGAGAATAACTGTCTAGGAAACTTGCAATTGGCTGAGAAGTATACAAATAGACCACATACATAGTGCCAAACATCACAACAGCAAGAAGAGTCTGAAAAATGAAATTAACATGAATGTCACTGTTCTGTAACAATTTTTTTAAACGTATTTTACCCTCACACACTTCATTTTCATTTCTCACTAGCTAATAGTAAAACCTCTGAAAAAGTGAGTGAACACTTCATTTTGAGCAATTACAAGTTTAAAGCTAGGTTGCTCAAACAAACAGTGTCTCAAATCATGTTTGTCATATCAGTGTAAGAATCCATGGCATCCCTTCATGAAAAAAAAGCCACTACAAAGATGACTTTTGTATATCCAGTATCAGATTACTCTTATACTTTAAGGACGTACTCAGTATGTCCTAACACATAATACTTGTATGAATACTTCCACACATGGTAAAAACAATCAAACTGCAAACAATTTAACTGATGATAAGTTTTTATTGTAAATTTGATCTCTATAGCTCAGAACTGTTTAGAAGATAAAATATATCTTTATAAATAAAGGGAAAAGATTGTAAGCTAGGAACAAATTAAACTAAAATAAAAACAAGAGGGGTATGGTGGATGTAGCATCAGCACCTCATCATGAAGAATGAGTATTTCTTTTGAAAGGATGTAAGTGAGGAATCCACCAGCCAAAAGTTTATGACCTGAAAACAAAGTGCAACAAAAAGAGACCATCAATTACATGTATCTTTCTTCCATATAGTTTTAGCTTTAATCAGACTCGTGATAATGTCAAATCTAGAGCTTGAGAAAAGGGAAACATTGACTGAAGTGAAATGACACTCCGACCCCAAAAGTTTTTCAGTTCGACCTTTAGTTCTCTAAATCAGACTGCCTCTGAGAACAATAAATGCATGTTCTATAAATGATTATAATTTGTATGTCCACTGCATTCTATTGTCTCACCAGTCTCCCCAGTCTTCTCCTTCAATGAACTGCTGACATCTCTATAGAACTGACCAAACTCATGAGGTTTGTCTAGATTAAAAAAAAAAAATCAAAACTTAAATGATTGTTCCCACATTTTAACTTAACATAAACACACATAACTGACTCAATAAAGCTAAAAGAAGAGAGGTGAAAAAACTGTTATTACTACTATAAAAAAAATATCCACACAAGCAAGGAAGTATACATACATATCTGCATTAATGTTCTGCATTTCCATATCAGAGCTGAACATTAACAACTAGGAAACTCAAAGACCCTACTCAACCATCTTACGATGTTGAAACTGATCTAGAACTGTTATATCACCTCCCAATCATCATTCTAAACTTGTTTCTTGTATATAAATACTTTGAAGCTTTGGCTTTTTGGGCACCTTTACTTCAGCTTTTAAATTTGAATATAATTCAATTTGCTGGATAATCCTTTCTTTGCACAAAACAACAAGAGGTTCTTCATGCCAACACTTGGTAATACGTGTAGTAATGTCTTTGTCCAAATGCTTGAATCCCTTTGCAATACTTGGCTGCATTACAATGTACCAGCTGTTGGCATTAATGTATGTGTATATCCGAGCTAATCTAATGAAATATTCTCATTAATACATTTGTTCAGTTTTAAAAGTCACAGAAACAAAGTGAATAATGCAATATGCCTGTACGACATTACCTTCAGTTTGTTGGGCAGGAACCTGACACATCAATCTTGTAGTTGCAGGCACGCTGAGAATGAATTACAAAAATAATTCAAACTACATTTGGTACTAACAGCTGAATATTGAAAAGCAGAAGGTGAGTGGCATGTTTAAACCCTTGATACATTTCTGATATAAAATAAAAGCTTACCTTGGTTTTGCATGAGCCAAGAGTCTGGCTGCACCACCTAAAAGGCAACATTAAAAATATCATCAACACTGCAACAAATACAGTGATTCACGATCATTCGGTCAATTTTACCTATATATCAACTGTTGTGTCAAAAAAAGAAAAAGAGGCCTTGCACAGCATCCTATTGAGGATACAATGTTTACATTACTGTTAAGATGACGCAAGCAAATGTATTGATATAAAAGTTAATGACCACCAAAGCAACATACTTACTGTAGATCGAGTTAGCGTGCATAAGCAGTTAATTAACAGTTATCCTTTACTGTATAAATTTGATCTCCACGACTATAAAGGCTTGTCAAAAGCAGTTGTAACTTCTTCTAGAGCAACATATAATACATCAGTTTTAGAGGTACAAAGGACAATTTCAATTTTTAATTTTGCGGCCCAATACTTTCTTTAACAGTCTTAGTGCTAGAGATTCTTTGTCTGGTATAAAAAAAAATGAAAAAGCAGTTTAAACAGGACGCAATAAATGAGGCTAAAAATCTTTACAGGAGCATAGCTGACTTAAAGAATAAAGACTTACCAATTCTGGTGGCCAAACGTAACCGAGAAATCATATCAGAGTTTTGCCTTCTTACAAATATGGCCGACCGAGTACGTAAGGCTGCAACGTATGCTGGGAAACTTTTGGTAGCCAAGCCTTCCTAAAACTAGGTCCGCATAGTGTACATATGATGACTAATAATAACCTTTTTACGTAGAGATAATCACATGCTACATCAAGAATAGCTATTAAAAGTATGCAAAAAAAAAAAAAAAATCAGTTCGCTTATTTCTAATCTTAGTTATAGTTAGTTCTGAATTTTTTTTATTTGTACCATTTTGACCCCAACCATTTTGAGAGCAATTTGGCACAATTCGCTTGCCGATAGATCCCAACTAGGCTCTTCACCTTCGTCAGTAAGATTCAAGACCCGATTGACTTTTTTTTTTCTTTAAAATGTCAAGGTATTTAAATATGGTTCAGATGTAATCGTGATGTGAGCGACTCGCAGCAAACCAATATTGAGAAGCTGAATCTGGTATGAATGCTTGTGGTAACATGCGATATACCTTTATCATTTCAGGTTTTTTCTTAGATCATTCTAGTATACATCAAATTCCAAAAGTAGTAGAAAGTGAAAGCTTTTGACGACAGGTTTTACTAATGACCGAAAGCATTATCAGGCTTACACGAGAAACTAAAAAAAAACAATACCCCCGATAGTGCCTTTATCGACGCTTTATTATTTTACAGTGTTGAGTTAACTGTGCATCACTGATCACGGCTGGACAAACTATCCATTTTTATCTTAAAATTAAGATTCAATTATACCCTAAAGACGTTTAAAAAGAGATAGTTTTTAAAGTCGACCACATGATGGTTTCCTGCTGGTTAAATTTTCTTTAGAAGTCAAATGAATGACATAACCCCTGGGATTTGTGTGTTTCAGTTACCTTTGTTTTCTGTACAGTCTATTAGGTGAATTAGGTGTTATTTGTTAGACTCATTATTTTGGTGATACCAAGCGAGAAAAATCCTAAAGCAACCGCTTAGCAAAGAGTCACTTATGCTTAAAGAAATCTAGAACACGCCGCTGTATCGACAACGGTGAAATTTTCTTCTTTAGCAAACCAAGAAGGGAAACTATGGTACTTCTATCATAAGACACTCCCTGAAAAGAGGTGAGACTGATGGAATTTAAAATTGAACACACAAGTTCATGGTTTTATGGAGCCATTAAGAGATTAAGAAGACTAGCGCAGAACAGAAAGATAATCCAAAAATGCTTGTATGGTTTTTTTCAACTTTGATATATTATTTCACACCACTGACGAAGAGGTGAGCCCGGGTAAACAAGTCAAGAAAATTTAGAGGACTCTAAAAATCAGTTGAAACAATTTAATTAGTCATCTGTTTGCATAAATAACAACAAACTTGTGTGAAGTTTCTTGGGTGCCCGGCTCAATCACCTGGGATCTCTGGGGGTATTTAAACGTAAGATCAATGACACTCTTTAAGTCTATTGCACGGCATTCACGGAAAACAGCTTTAGTGTTATAGTATGTAGTTTGAACTTTAAATATCTTAGCGTATGTGATATGTATTTTTATGGGCTGATGAATTGATCGTGTTTAAATAAAGATTACATTACATTACATTACATCTCTTTGCTTCAAATCTATCGAGGACTCAGATTTTGTCGCAAGCCGGTCATTTTCGCCGACAACAAAGAAGGAAAAAAGGCAAGAAAGCCAAAGTGGGTTTTTATGTTGTGAGATACATGAAATTATTATTTACAATGAACTGAGAAAGCAACAACTTGGCTTTATGCAAGACGGGTGTGTGTGCATTATGTATGGGTTTTGGGAGAAATGCGGCGGGGTGGAGGGGGGGTGGCAGTGTGAGCACAAGTTATACACACTCGGAGTGGTGTGTACTTGACAGAAAACCTCTTCCTTTGTTCTTGCCAAGCATACAAGAGAAAAAGATAGTTCTTCAGTTTGTTTCAAGCTTTGGTAGTAAGGAAAAAGTTATAAAAAGCAGAGAGTTGAAAGCAGAAGGAAGAAAGATAGATTTGAAGCAAAGAGATGTAATGTAATGTAATGTGATGTAATGCAATGTAATGTAATCTTTATTTAAACACGATCAATTCATCAGCCCATAAAAATACATATCACATACGCTAAGATATTTAAAGTTCAAACTACATACTATAACACTAAAGCTGTTTTCCGTGAATGCCGTGCAATAGACTTAAAGAGTGTCATTGATCTTACGTTTAAATACCCCCAGAGATCCCAGG